AGGGGGGTTTTTTTTCTTGGCTTTCAATCTATATTTCAAGGAGTTCCCCAGAACGGACTCCGACCCCATCACGGGGTAAAACACAACGACCTGTGCCCTCATCCCACCCTGAATCCCCACCCTGGGAATTCCCGGCGCTCCCCGGCTCTGGGGTGGGGCTGAACCAGGAGGGATCCACCCCAGAAAGTTGTTTTTCCTGATTTTTTTAACCATTTTTTAAATTTTAATTCTCATTTTCCTTCTCTTTTTATGTCCCTTTCCTTTTCTCTCACCGCTGCAGCCGGCTGCACGGTGCAGCCAAAGGAAACTGAGGCACGGGAGGGGTTGAAGCTGCCGGTGTTTCCTCAGCCTTAAAATTCCCTCTTTGGATTTTCCTTATTATTGGTGAAAAATCTCTTCCCAAAATCAGTTTTTTCCCAATTTTGGGGGAAAAAAACCCAACCCAACAACGTTTAATGATGAGGCTGTTGGGAGGGGACAGTGTCCCCAACACACCTTGTCGCGGTGTCTGTCGGCGCGGAGACGTCGCCGGAGGGAGGACAGTGACAGCACCACGATCCTGCGGGGAGAAATTAATTAATTCCCTGGTTTAATTAAGAGAATCGTGGATAAATTCTTCCCCGCGGATCGATGCATCACTGTGGCAGCTGCAAAAAAGCTTTTCCATGCTCAGGAAACACAGGTCTTCATTTCCCACCTGAATATTCCTTCCTCCGTGGGGGACCTGTCAGCAAAAACCTAAAAAAAATGGGATAAATAACAAATTTTTCTGTAGCAAAGCAATAAAATGTGGAAAACGGGTGGAAAAAGAACAAATTTTCATGTCTCAAAGACTAAATTCCTGAAAACAGGCAGGAAAAGAAACAAATTTTCATGTGCTGAAGCCTAAATTGCTGAAAATGGTACAAAAAGAAACAAAATGTTTGTCCCCAGAAGCCTTAAATTGCTGAAAAAAACCCCAAATTTCCATGTAGTGAGGTAAAAAATGGTGGAAATGGGTAAAATGGAAAGAAATTTCCACGTGCTGAAGCCTAAATTATTGAAAATGGTGAAAAAGAAAGAAAAATTTTAGTCTGAAATGTCTGAAAAGAGGCCAAAAAGAACCAAAATTGTCATGAACCAAAGTGTGAATTGCTGAAAACGGGCAGAAAAGAAACAAAGTTTCATGTACTGGAGCATAAAATGCAAAAAAACGGGTGGAAAAACCCCAAATTTTTGTGTCTTGGACTAAATTCCTGAAAACAGGCAGAAAAAGAAACAGATTTTCATGTGCTGAAGCCTAAATTGCTGAAAATGGTACAAAAAGAAACAAAATGTTTGTGTCCTGAAGCCTTAAATTGCTGAAAACGGGCCGAAAACCCCCAGATTTGGGCAGAGGCGCCGGCGGCAGCTCAGCCCATGCTGGAAAATGCCAGGAAAAGGGATTTTAAGGATTTTTCTGATTGAAAAAACCCCAATTCCCTGTGTTTTTAGGGCTGCTGAGCCCTTCCCAGGGTGAAATTGGGGTGAGGAAGAGCGATTTCTGTCGGGTTGAACCAAAGCCGCCGCACCGGGCGGGAGCAGACACTGTCCTTGTCCCGTCGGCATCATCCCACATTCCAACAGGAAAACATTAAATATTCCTGAGCAATCAATTTTTTTTTCTTCCAAATCCACTTTTTTTTTAAACAAAATATATATATTTCAGTGTTTTTTCTTAGTTAATCCCCAATTGTGGTTCCCCAGCACAAAGGGGAGCTGAGTTTGTAACCTTGTGTTCCTCCAAATCCAGATTTTCCCAGCAAGAAGCATTTTCTCTCCATGGAAATCCCAGAGGATTTTCCCTTTTTTATGGCCATGGCTCCACCATCCTCTTCCTCCTCCCGGCGTTTGTCTCTCACCCGCCGCCTCGTTTTAATCCACCCCGGGATTAATTGAACCAAATTCTGCAACCTCAGGATTTTTTCCCCCCGGGAATGGGATTATCCCGACGCTGACGGCGTCGCCGGCGTCTCGTCCCTGCTCCGGTTTGAGTTGTTTTGGGGGGGGGGATTTTCCTGTCCTTTCATTTCCTCTCCCTCACGCTGCTGCCGTCAACCCAACGTGACACCGGGAACGTCTCCTCTCCGGGTGTCCAATTCCTGTTAGTTTTATATATTTTAATATATTTTTAAGGATAAATTGAAGCACCAGAGGTTGAGTTGGTTCAGGGATGATCTGTGGTCATGGTGCCACCTTGATTCCAGCCCAACAAGACCTCAGCTGTGGTTTTGTTGGTGCTTTCTAATGATAATGATGATTTTTTTGGTGGTTGAAGGAGAATTTGTGTTATTTTTATATATTTTTAAGGATAAATTGAAGCACCAGAGGTTGAGTTGGTTCAGGGATGATCTGTGGTCGCGGTGCCACCTTGATTCCAGCCCAACAAGACCTCAGCTGTGGTTTTGTTGGTGCTTTCTAATGATAATGATGATTTTTTTGGTGGTTGAAGGAGAATTTGTGTTATTTTTATATATTTTTAAGGATAAATTGAAGCACCAGAGGTTGAGTTGGTTCAGGGATGATCTGTGGTCGCGGTGCCACCTTGATTCCAGCCCAGCAAGACCTCAGGTGTGGTTTTGTTGGTGCTTTCTAATGATAATGATGATTTTTTTAGTGGTTGAAGGAGAATTTGTGTTATTTTTGTATTTTTAAGGATAAATTGAAGCACCAGAGGTTGGGTTGGATCAGGGATGATCTGTGGTCATGGTGCCACCTTGATTCCAGCCCAACAAGACCTCAGCTGTGGTTTTGTTGGTGCTTTCTAATGATAATGATGATTTTTTTGGTGGTTGAAGGAGAATTTGTGTTATTTTTATATATTTTTAAGGATAAATTGAAGCACCAGAGGTTGGGTTGGATCAGGGATGATCTGTGGTCGTGGTGCCACCTTGATTCCAGCCCAGCAAGACCTCAGGTGTGGTTTTCTCGGCACTTTCTAACAATAATGATGATTTCTTGGGTGGTTGAAGGAGAATTTGTGTTATTTTTATATATTTTTAAGGATAAATTGAAGCACCAGAGGTTGGGTTGGATCAGGGATGATCTGTGGTCGTGGTG